CTCTCACTCCACTAACTTCATTTTGATGTTTTTGTTAGGAGTCATGACTACACATTTTAGATAAGTATAGATCGCCTTTAATTATACACTATCAGTGGCTTTTAGTTCTCATTTCTTCCGATTTCGACAATTTCAAAACATTAAGTACGCATCGTATTCAAGCACAGCTATATTGAAAAGATGAAATTATAGTTTAGATTTTTCCTTGGTACTTGTTTTAAGCTATAACATATGTATTGCCTTTGAAAATATCAAATTAAACATGATACATGAAAGTACTGTCTAGATCGACATTTTTTGCAGACGATGAACTTGCTGGAGCGATTCAAGAAGCGCTTAGCTTCATCTAATCAGTCGGCGATCTTACATGACAAAAAAATAGAAATCAAAGAAGAGGAGAAGAAGGAAGAGGAAGAAGAAGAGAAGAAGTTTGGCATAGATTTGGATGCAGAAGATGTCGTGGGCGATGACTGGTGCGCAGTTTGACTCCTCTTCTAGAATTTTAGACAAATTGATTGGACAGCAACGATTGGACTAATAAGCTGAATCAATTTTACCTCTTATTTCAGGATGGGCCATAAGTTCGAGGCCGAAGATGAGGATCCAAAACTTTCGAAAGCAAAAGATGCTAATCTGAGAGAGGAGAGTGAAGATTGGTATGACATTAGTGATCCCAGAAACAAAATGAATCAACGGCGACGGGGAGAGATCTGAAAAGGTTTTTTTGTTGTTGATTTCCATGTTTGTCGACTGTTTCGATCTCTGATAAATATCTATGATGAAGTGTGAAATTCTGCTGGATAGGTGCGACGAGTTTGTTTTAGTTTCAGTTTGCTCAAAATATGAATTTTTTGTAAGTCAAATTGAAATTTTCGGCAAGCGTTCCGACTGATATGACATCAAACGAACCAGTGCATGCCTAGGTACATTACACGAATGCCCAATCGAATGCTCTATTGATACAATTTTGATTTGAGTTCTTCTGTAAATAGCAAGTAATTCGCTACGTTTTGACGTCATGAGTCGCTAATTTTGTGTTTTATAGAGAACTAGCTACAAATAATGGAACCATTCATATAGTAGGTTGGCTAGA